TGACCATGCAACTTTATAGAAAGATACTGTAATACTGTAATGTTTCAACTAAAAGTATCTCATATCTATTATATATTTTCAAACTGATAATTATACAGGAAATCATAAAACACTTACATCCATACTGCAAGTAACATCATACAGTTAACATACAAACAAAATTTCAAAGAAAGATTTTTAAAACATTAAGTAATATGACCAAATGAGAAATACTTGCTCATTTACTTTTAACTTCTACTCTTTTTCCTAGACTTGCTACTTTGAATGCCTTTCCCCTCACTTATGAACAATTACTGAAATGATTTGGTTCTTAGCATAAAAGCAGAATAGAATATTTTACTTGGAAAATAATTCAGATTTGATTTTTTTTCTTAACTAATTGGATCTAGGTGTCTCGTTGCAGTGTCAAGACTCCTTGGTTCTCCTTAGCAATATTTTGATCTCTTATTCTGCTTAAGTATTTTTTGCTTTTCTGCCATTTCCGAAGGTCAATATTTGTAATTTGATATGTAATAAACTGTTTATTTTGCCCAGACTCCATATCATCTCCCTTGGTAGTCTATATCTCTGTACAGTGATAATAAGCAAGATATTGTTATTTGCCTTTTTTTAGTTATCTGTAATACAACCCATGCCATTGCTTATAGTGGCAGGAATAGGATCCTGAACAAGAAATTAGTGTCACCCTCCAAAATCTTTGTCGCTTGGGTCTATGGGGTTAGGTGATGAATAACATGTAAACAGTTCTAGTATTACTACATGTGTATTTGTAAGACCTACTTCTGTAAGTCCACTACAGATATATTATATTAACCAAAATTAACTGAACTTTCAATATCTGTAGAATGCTTATTAAATCTTTTCTTCATTTTACTATTATATCTGATGACAAAACTTAAACAAATAAAATATATTCTCTATTATCACTCTGCAAACTGTTCTCTTTCAAAGCATTTTAAAGAATGGTAATGGCATATGTATCCTGGTACTCAAATCATATTTTGTTTTCATTTATCAATGTTCATTACTTACATGCAGCATCTACCACAAATAAGAAAAAGACATTTCAACAAATTAGTCTTGCATAACAATATTCAAGATGCTAGTTTTAAAGTCTTCCAATAAAAGATATAAATGAAATGTGGAACAGATACCCTAATAGATTTTATAAGATGGATATTTTAACCAACTTTCAGAAAACAAGAGCACTTTTACGAATGCCTTCAATACTAAGCCACATTGAAGTATTTGTCAAGTCATGAAAGTTCGTGGAATATATTTACAATCATGACAAACGTTAACTTTTAATATTCCAATTTGGGCAACATTTCAATTTGTTATCTATGTTAGTTATTCATAACAGTAAAGTAAATTTTCTTTTTAGCAGATCTGTGAAAGTTCTAAGGAATTAAATCTAACTTATCTGCATGATTACACAGAAATGATATGATTTGCAGTTGTTATTATTCTTCATGAAAAAATGTGATCAAGTTATTTGATTTGCTAGAAAATATATCATACATATCATGAATCATGAACCCATTAGCACTGGGTAACTGTTCTATCTGCTGTAGTTTTGTTTTGTAAATTCTGTTTACAAACTGATGGCTCCACAAGCGCTAAGCCACTAAGGAGTCGATTTGTAGGGCCTACCTGAACAACCAATTTCCCCATACCATGATTTTTTTTTTATTCTAGTAAATGGGACTGTAACTATTATTACTATTATTATTACTTTTGTTAAGTTATCTTTACATAAACAAAACTAATAAACTAATTCACAGTAGCCATCACATTTATGTATGTATATACCATTCCAGCATTAACAGGTTAAAAATAACCCAAAAGTTAACTTCATGACTTCTCAACCTTATGGGACTCCAAGTTCAGGTTCATGACTAGTAACAAGATGTGAAGGCTATCATAGAATGCCATAAATTCTCATGCTTAATGATAATTTTCATTTATGACATTGATTTTCCAATTATTACTTTTGGACCAACAAGAAAAGAAAATATGTAAATTGTGCATGATACTAACATACATACATACATACATATATATACATATATTTATATATACATATATATTTATATACATATACAAATATTTATATACATATACATATATTTATATAAATATATATATTCATAAATATATACATAATTTATATATACATATTAATATATTTATGTAAATACATCTATATTCTTATATATATATATATATATATATATATATATATATATATATATATATATATATATATATATAAAGATGTATACATATTTATATACATATATATATATGCATATTTATATTCATATGTATACATGAATATATATTCATATTTATATATACATATATATTCATATATATACACATGTATATATGCCTATGTTTATTTTTATACAAAAATATAAGTATATATACATATATAAGTATATACACATATGTATTTGTATATATGTATATATATGTATGTGTACATATATGTTATGCATACATATATATGTACATATACATATATACACATATATAAATACATATACATATATAGCTATATAAATATATAAGTATATATCATATTCATATGTATATATATATATATATATATATATATATATATATATATATATATATATATATATATATATATATATATATATATATATATATATATATATGTTTGACATCTATTCAAGATGCCAGTTAGCCAGAATACTCAAGCTTTGGGAATAGCTATATCTATCTGTAGTAACAACTAATAAATTTCCTCAAACATAAGCTAATTATTTTTTTTATCACCCAATCATATTCTTAAGAAATATGATTATTGATCTCCTTTGCATCTATTAGAACATAGGCCTGATCTAATAACAAGAATTACAATAGTCAATCTACCATTTCCTTTATATTTCAGATAGTATATACTATTACAATTTATGTTCCAAAATTAAAATTGTTGTCAGTCATGTAGTTTTGACAGCTAAATAATAAATAACTGACATATATATTTTTTTGTAATACCTACTAAATACTGGGAAAAAGCAATAGCAAATAGACATGCCTGCATAAACCGCCATTTTAATATTAATGTTAACTGTAATACTCAGAACGCTAATATTTGTATGAATTTTTTAATACTTATATATCAGTACTATAATATTATTATTATTAATAAAATATCTATGTAAATAAAGAACATATAAATCATCATAACCTAAATACAGGAAAAGAGGGTAATTTTTAGTACAAACAAGCATGAAAATAATCTCAAATAAATCTACTGTTCTAGTATACATAAAAAAAGAAAAGATCAGACTAACCTGATTGAAATTGCTCTCACTGACTGAGAAGGTCTGTGTCTGTTCTGTGTCTAGATCAACTTTTTCATTGAGCTCCTCCGAGCTCTCACTGTCTGTAGATGTTTCTTCCTTGTACAAGTCACTATTCTTCCTTCTATCACTGCCGCTTTGCTTGTCAGCTTCTGTGCTTTTTCTCCTTTCCCTTCCCTTCACTACATCAGCTATTGTTGGTCGGATACAAACACTCTTCTCCCCTTTCTCACAGGGTTTCTGACTCACTTTCTCCCCACTGTCAGTCTTTTCCTTAGAACCATCAACAGTCATCCCTTCAAGTCTATTTGGTTCTCTGTCACCTCTCTCACTAATGCCACTGAGTGAATTACCACTAGTTCTTTGATGGGATTTGGATTTCGCTTCACCGGCTGACGACTTTTTAGGATGTGATTCTAATGGTCTCTGGGTTACTTTGGACAGTTTGGGAAGTTCATTATTTTCAAACACTTTTGCACTTTTTATAAGCTTTGACTTCTCCCCACTTTGCTCTGTGGATCTTGAGTCTTTGCACTTTGGTGACACTTCCTTACTCTTTCGGCGCTCACTGGAAGAATCACGCTTTTTATCTTTACTGGATGACAGAAACTCTTTGTTGTACTTTTTCTCTGGACTGAAGTCTTTATCTAAATTTCTTTCAAAACCTTCATCTCTTTCTAATCTTTTATCCACATGTATCTCTTTGTGTGATCTCCTGTCACAAAAATCGTTACTTATTCTTTTCTCAAAGCTGTGATCCTTGCCCAACTTCCGGTCAGAATCACAGTCTTTGTTGATCTTCTCACAACCAGTCTCTTTCAAAAAACATTTGTCACAACCAGTTTCTTTGGAAGAGTATTTATCTGCAGGTTCTCGGTTAACTGATTTTTCAGGTGCATGATCTCTCTCGTGCTTCTTCTCAGTCTCCTTGTCTTGTTTGACGTCACTGAGAGGATCTTTATTAGATCTCTTAAAAGGAAGGTGTTTCTTCTCTTTTTTATCAGAAGTTATCTCTTTGTAAGACTTCTTTTCTTTGCCTGATTTTTTCACAGGCATGGCATTTGCCTCAAAGAGATACTCCTTCTCTTTCTTTTCATTATTCAAATCCTTGTTAGTTCTCTCTTCCACAGCAGGATCCTTCTTTATTTTCTTCTCATGAGAGTTATCTTTGTTACTTCTTCTATCATGAGATTCCTTATTTTGCCTTTTCTCAGGGGTGTTATCCTTGCTTCCTCTTAAATCGGCATGATCTTTAGTTTGCCTCTTTTCAGGGGTCACTTCCTTATTTGATTTCCTTTCTGCAGCAATACTCTTAAAAGTCTTTCTCTCGGAGATAGTATCCTTGTGTGATTTCTTCTCAGGAGATGTATTCTTACCAGACTTCTTCTCAGGAGTCTCATGTGTTCTCTTTTCATCAGATGCTTCTCTGACCAATTTTTTATCGAGAGATGAGTCTTTGAAAGATTTTTTCTCAAGAGACAAATCTTTGGTAGATTTCTTCTCTGGGGAAGGATCCTTAATATTCTTCTCTGGATACACATCTTTGACGTGATCTTTATCAAGATGCACATCTCTGCCTGATTTCTTGTCTTGCACACTTTCCAAACTTGTCTTCTCCTGATGACTTTCCTTGCTTGACTTCTTATCCTGTGAACTGTCTCTTGTTTTCTTTTCTGGTGACACAATCTTTCTATTTTTATCCAGATTATCCTTGTTTGATTTCCTTTCAAGGTTACTATCTCTAGACTTCATCTCATTGCAATCCTTTTTCACTTTCTTTTCACTACTAAAATCTATGGCCACTGGTACAACCTTCTCTGATACTTCCTGATTTCTACTTCCACTTAAAACATCTTTGTTGGGTGATTTCTTCTCTGAATTAACTTCATTTCTAACCTTCTTGCTCTGGAAAGCTTCTTTAGTAATTTTCCTTTCTGCAAGGACATCTGTACCTGTTCGTACAAGTACATCACTTTCCTTGGGCAGCTTTTTATCCAAATCTATTTCTTTACTTGACTTCTTTTCAAAACTGTTGTCCTTTGAAGTTTTTCGAGGATTGGTGTCCTTGTTTGATCTCTTCTCAGCAGAGCTTTCTCTCTCTTTACCATTTTTCCTTTCATGTGCAGAAGCTTTGCCAGCTTTCTTTTCAAAATACAACTCCTTATTGGAAGTTTTATCTGTGTTACTCTCCTTACTTAAATTTTTCTCTAACTGGACTTCTTTGCAAACTTTCTTCTCTATATTTGCATCTCTGTGCAGCTTCCTCTCGTTGCTCTGGTCTCGACAATTCTTTTTCTCAGGAAAGGATTCAGCACCAAGTTTTACTTCTGAGCAATCAACCACAGATGACTTCTTATCATTAGAGTTTTTCTCTGGCAATTCTTTGCTAATTTCACTACTTTTTTCATCTACTTTTAGAGATTCTGGTTTGTCAATTGTTGGAGTATTATTTGTCACTTTTGGCCTACTTCTTTCCAGATTCAGGTCTTCACTATCTGTGCGGTTTCCAGCTGGCAACGGTTGAGTGAAATGATCCACAGAGCTATTGAATTTTTCCTTCTTGCCAACTTTATTATTTTGCCAATTATTAATCTCATTTGCAGTAGCAGAATAATTAAATGACCTACACAATTTTACTACATCATAAACTTTATTGTACTTTGTTGTGTTCTCGACAGTTTCTTTTATCACTGGATGCTTTGAGAAATCGTTTCCCAAAACTACAGTTTTCTGTTCACTTTGTTGCATAGAACTACTTTTTGTGCTAGACAACAACCGGTCAAATTCCCGATTAAGTTCCTTCTCCTTCTCACGCCTCCTCTCCTCCAATTCTGCTAGGGATATGGCTTTGTTTCTGGCCTCCTCTGCTTTCTCTTTGTCACACTCATCCCACCGTGGAGAGGTAAGGTCACACTTCTTATCCGGTGGGGAAATGCTGCCTCTTTTATATGGCTGGAAAGGTACAGTTCTTGTCTCCTCAACCTTTAGCGTATGCAAAGGTATATTACCTTTATTTTCAACAATACATTTAGGATTAGAGATTTTGTCCTCATCAGCTATACTTTTCTCACACTTAGTTTCACTAACTAATGCCCCTTTCTCCTTTATGATGTCCAAAACTTCACTGGTGCAACTTTCTTGGACTGTTTCCTTGTTATTTACAGAGATTACTTCACTTCTACACAAGTTATTTTCAGACAATTTTGGCATCGACACTGGTAATAACTGCTTAGTATCATCAACACTAGATGGAAACCCAAGTTTCTTTGTATTCTCACTTCTCTCATTATCACTCCCATCACTATTATCATCATCATCACTGAAAACACTCGATTTGGACAACACTTTCTCCTCTAATAATGAACCTTTGGTAGTCTTATTAACCCCAAACCCAACAGCAGCTATGCATGCAGCACTGGGTGATGTAAAGGTGTGTGAGGGTTTGTATATCTGGGCTGAGTTACCCTTTTGTGCAGGAGAGCCAGGAGCTTTGGAATCAGCAACATTGGGTTTCCCAGAAGAAAACTCTTCATTCCTTCCAGCACCTCTAAACGAGCCATCACTTAAGGTTAGCTTTGGAGCAGTGAGCTGCGGTTTTCTTCTTGGTAAGGGTTTGTTCATAGGGCTAGAATCACCATCTTCATCCTCCTTTTTCTGTTCATCATCCGAGGCAGAAGAACTGCTGTCACTCCACACCGAACTATCCGAATCAGAGTCCTGAAATAAATTTGTCCATAAGTAACAGTTTAAGGTAAAACATTTTTCAGTTCTTGTATAGTCTTCATGATAAAAAATGATCTAGCTTTAATCCAATATATGAGGTGCTAATGCATTTATGAATGTATGAATGCACGCAAATGCTCACACAAACATACACATTCATGCATGAAAAAAAAAAAAAACACACACACACACTCAATAAACATATAATTCAAGTATAAAGGTTTCAACTACCTGTATTAAACTTATAATCATACTGATAAAGAATGGAGGCAGATTAAGAAAAAGTAAGTAAAGAACAAACACAATATACAAATATACAGGAAAGAAGACCATAAGCACCCACTTAATTAACCATGAATATGTTATAATTCATTTTCAATAATCTCAATGTTGAAACTATGACTTTTTAAAAATATATACATTGCAATAAAATTTGTTT